GCATGAGAGCTGGGCGGCGGGCAAAGGGACCCCGCCCCACGCAGGCTGCCCGCCCAGGCGCCTCCACTGCGGAGCCGGAGGGGAAAGCGCGCGTCAGCAGAGACATCGGCTCCTCCGCTCCCCGCCGTCCCCGACCCCGCGCTTCCCCTCCTGAGCCCAGGGCCGCCCTCGCGCCCTCGCACCCACCTCGCACGGTCACGGCCACCGGCGCGGAGAACATGGGCGCGCTCTCCACCGGGAGGCGCATGGTGCCCGAGCACTGGTAGCGCCCGCTGTCGCCGGCGCGCGCCTGCGGCACCGAGTAGTTGGCTCCCGAGCCGAAGTAGCGCACGGCGCGGCCGTCGCGGTAGTAGTGCAGCTTGTGCACTGCCTTGTCGTACCAGCCGCGGCAGCGCAGGACCAGCGGCTCGCCCTCGAACACCGGCGCGTAGGGCACTTGCAGGATCAGCCAGTCTGCGAGGCACCGGGACAGCGACTCCAGAAGACCCGCCCGGGCCCCTTCTCCGCCCGCCCCCACCCGCAGCGGCTCACTCCGCCCACTGAGCGCCGGCACCCAGCCCCGCCCGCGGGTGCTGCCTTCCTGCCCGTCCTGCTCCCGCCCCTGCCCGGCTCCCGCACTCCCTCGCCGGTCCCTGTGCGGGCGCCCGGGAAACTGGCCCCGTGTTTAAACCGAGAGGGAATGGCCAGCGGCGCTCAGGTCTGCGAGCTGCGGCCACTGGCTAGCGCGGCCGCTACCTCACCTGCACTCACTGTGCTTTCCAACCAAGAAACACAGAGTGGACGTGAGGCGTGTAAGTGCCAGTTGAGCACTGAGTGGCCGTCATTAAATTCTGAACACAAACTGCGCCCTACGGGTCCCAGGTGACGTCATACCCCACCCAGCAGCCAGCCTGGCCCGAGGCATGCATTTCCGTTGTTCTCGGCTCCTGTTTTGAAGCCTGTAAGTGTCCCCAGGCCAGTGTCCCAGTGACCCCTCAGGGCACACAGGGCCTGTGAGGCGGAACTCTGGCCTCCTGCACAGCCAGGCGCTGCTGCCCTCTTGCTGAGGGGCCCAGAGGAGCCCCGTCCAGACTGACTGCTGTGCGGCCTGCGGCCCGGCCCTGCCCGCCCGCCCGGCTTCTCTGGCCAGTGTCCCAGGTGCTCAGGGCCTCTGCTCTTCGGAGCCAGTCTCCTCAACAAACAGAAATGCCCATTTGCCACCCACTGCGGCAGGAGCGGAGGGGCCCTTTGGGGACGGGCCAGCCTTACTGCACCCAGTGCCATGTGCCCCCCTTTCCTGCCCCAATGGGAGTGGCCCAGTGTCCTTCCCACAGGATGGCCAGTACCCCGAGGAGCCTGTGCCCACCCCCTGGGGCAGACACTCACCATTGGAGACAGAGAGGTGGACAGGGTCGCTGACGGGCGCTCCCCGGGTCTGGCACCGGTACACCCCTGGGGTCTGCACCTCGATGCTCCTCCCGTGAGAGGGCAGCAGCAGGTGGCCCAGGTACCAGAGGGTGCTGATGGGCCGGAGCTCCACGACCAGAGGGTGGTGCCCGTCACACTGCAGGGTGACCCGCTCCCCCTTGAAGATGGTGGTCCAGGGTGGGTGCAGAGACAGCGTGGGCTTCTCCAGGGCCACTGGGGGGGGGGGGGCAGTGTGGAAGGGGTCAAGGCGAGGTGCCCACAGGTGTGCTCTGAGGTGGGGGATCTCAGGAAACCCCAGCCCCCGGGCCAGCCCTCGACCTAACCCAGCCTCGGGGGAGGCCCCCTGGGCTGCGAGGTGCCAGTCCCTCAGCACCAGGTCTAAGCCGCAGGCGAGCTGTCACAGGCCGGGTGGAGTGGGAAAGACACTCCCAGAACAGGCAGGGGGAGGCCCACGCAGGTCACGGGCTGGTGTGGAAAGTGTCAACACTGGTGAGGGAGGCGTCGGACTCACCGGCGTGTCCACTGCTTGGCGCTGCGAAGCAAGGATGAGAGAGAAGGAAGGAGGAAGGTTGGGCTGTGAGGAGAGCAAAGGGCTCTTGCCCCAGAAGAGACTCAGCGGGAACCCGGCACTGGCTTTCTCCGCCTCTTCACCCTCCAAGATAGTGGACTGTGTGGAGTCGAGGGTTGCACACCCCCCATGCCTCACCCCCCGACACACACACACGCTCTCCCCACACACACACACGCTCTCCCCACACACACACACACACACACACGCTCTCCCCACACACACAAACGCTCTCCACACACACACACGCTCTCCCCACACACACACACACGCTCTCCCCACACACACACACACACACACGCTCTCCCCCCACACACACACACGCTCTCCACACACACACACACGCTCTCCTCACACACACGCTCTCCCCCCACACACACACGCTCTCCACACACATACACACACGCTCTCCACACACACACGCTCTCCCCACACACACACACGCTCTCTCCACACACACACACGCTCTCCCCCCCCACACACACACACAAGCACACACGCTCTCCTCACACACCCATGTCCCCTGCTCCCTGTGACTCACCCAGCAGCAGGAAGGCTGCCAGCGTCCACATGACGACCTGATGCGCCGCCGCCCAGGGCTGGAGACGCTGCCGAAGTGGGGGGGGGGGCAGTGCTGCCCACCGAGCTCCGCACCCCTAACTCTTGGAGATGTGGCTGGAGGAGCAGGGGATGGGCCGCTGTGTGTCAGCCTCCAGGGCCACCTACCGCCCGAGAGCACCTGCGTCTCAGGCCAGCCCCATGGCCCGTGGAGAAGACCCACTGCGCACAGCCTGCCCCGCCCCCGGCTCCCAGGCTACCCCCTCCCCTCCCCGTCCAGCTGCCCTGTGAGCTTCAGGTGGGGAGACACACCCTCAGGGCCTCAAGGCCCCCCAGGGCCTTTCTCCTGCGGCCTCCCCAGGACAGACCTCAGTGTGAGGCTGTGAGGTTGACATGGGGGACCCTCCCAGGGCTCACACCTCCCACAGGTGAGCAGACAGGAAGCCAGGCCTCCAGGGTCCCCATCAGGGGTAGACATGTCATGTGTCCACTCTTCTTTCTCCCTTCCTGACCCCCAACCCTCAGGAGTTAGAAAACCCTTCTCTCTTACCCACCGAGTGCCTTGCCCGGTGGCACCGCCACTCACTGGAGCCCTTCTTTCTGTCCTTCCGGGCACCCCAGCAATGCATGCAGCACCCCCCCCCAAGCCCAGGGCAACCCCTCCCCACCTGCAGCACCCCCTCCTTGCCCGCAGCACCCCCTTCCCGTCCGAAGCACCGCCTCCCTTCCCGCGGCACCCCCCACACCCATGGCACCCCCCACACCCACGGCACCCCCCACACCCACGGCACCCTCACCTGAGGCAGAGAAGCCACTGCCTGGGCCCTCAGAAACTCCTGGTCCGACCTCCACCTCTTCCTGAGCCACGTGACCCAGCCCTGAGCAGCAGCGGGCAGCTGCGTCCTGGGTAAATACTTAATGAACTTTCCACCGGATAGTGTGTCCCCAGTGCCTCCGAGACTGCGGAGCCGGGAGCACCTCCCTCCCTAGGGACTCGGGCAGGAAAGAGATGCTCCTACATCAACTCGGTTAAGGTGGTCCCTTCCCCTCTGGCTCGGGACACCCAAAGCCCCTCTGAGCATTCCCTCCGCGCCCTAGGGTGCCGTCCTGTCAATAATGCAGCTGCCTCTTGGGAGAATGCGATGGGTCGATGGGTCGACTCAGTCACGCTGGCCTGATCTGTTCTGAGAGCAGCTTTTGATGGAGAGAGAGCGTCAGTGGGTCTGGGAGGCAGGGCAGTACCTGATGAGGTGTCCAGGGGCTGGGGGTCGGAGTGGGGGGGAGAACAAGGACTGGGAGCACAGACCATGAATTGCCTGCTTTGGGACCGCACCCCCAGATCCCACCTGGCTCCTCACTCTGGGGCCAGTGCGGGCGCCCACATGCCCGCGGCCTGCGCAGAGGCCTGACTCCTGGCCAGGGCCTTCTCTGTGACAGCATGTGACACCCGTCAGCTGTGCCTCGTCTGCACCAGCTGGCATCTCGGCCTCTTCACCGAGCTCCACGACAAAGCCCACAGAGCATGCCGTCTCCCCACAATTCCCAGAACCCCGACAGGGCGCCTGTCGCACGGTGCTCGGAGTTTGACCTGAAAAATCCACCCTCCCAACATTTCTGTATTCTCGGCTCTTCCACATCCCCCCCCCCCCCGCACCCTCCCCCCGCCAGGTCGGGTGTTTTCCTGCGTCCAGGACTCCCCCCGGAATGTCTGACTCTTCAGCTCCATGCCTCACAGAAACGTATCAATTACCACGGTTACCCCAGCAGCTATTTGAGGCCCATCGCGTCCTAATTCCTGGACAAGAGGTGCCATCAGCTGACAGTCGCCTACGGGAGGGGTGACGCCCTGCCACGGGCTTCAGACATCGCCAGGGAGCACCCGCTCTCGCGTCCAGCAGGGCTCCCCTCCCTTGTTTCTTTTCTTTTCTTTTTTTTTAATTGATTAGAGAGAGAAACTTGGATTTGTTGTTCCACTTATCCACGCATTCACTGGTTGATTCTCATGTGCGCCCTGATGGGCGTCAACCCCCAAACCTTGGATGACGCTCTAATCAACTGAGCTCACCGGGCCAGGGCCCTCCCGGTTTCCTGCGGCAGGTCCGGGAGGGCACAGATGCATCTTCTGTAAATCTCTGTGGGTCGAACTACGCACAGAACCATCGGCACAGAGAGAGGAGGGGACAGTGTCGCACCGGGCATGGAGCGGGATGGGGTGCGCTGCAGCGGGACGGGCTCTGCCCAGGAGCTGCTGGGGAGCCTGTCGGGCGCTGTCCCAGCCTGAGCGCTGACAGCAGCGTCCCACACAGGAAAAGTGTGATTATGTCCCCAAAGAGTAACGCAAGCTTTGAAAGGAAAATAGTTCCGAGACAGCGGCCTTGCGGCTCCGGGACGGCCGCTGCACCACAGCTGCTGCGTCCAGGGGAGCCTGTGGGCGGTGTCAGCTGTGCTAGAGGCAGAGACACCGTTAGGAGGAGAGGCCACAAAGGCCGGCGTCTAACCGACTGATATTCGCTGAGTGAGGCCAAGTGGGGGAGTGAGTCGAAGAGGCAAAGCTCCCCCTCGGACACCACGCATCCCTGTGGCTGGGTTTCCTTCCTCACTATTGACGTTCAGAGAACGCTCTGTGGGGGCTGCTCTGTGTTACAGGCTGTTAGCAGCACCCCTGTGTTCTACTTACTAGACAACAGTAGCACCCCCCAAACTGGCAACCCAAGTGTCCCCTGGGCAGGTGGGGTGGTCCCGCCAAGACTGCCACCCAACCCGCCTGCTTGCTCTCTCACCCCGGGCTCTGCTGGGCAGCAGGAGGCGCCTGGTGGGCTGGAGAGGATCCGCGGCCAGGTTGAGAGGGGTGCACAGCTCCCCTTGGTGCAGTTACGGAAGCGCCTGCCTCCGACTCTAACAAGACTAGAAACCTGGAGAAGTCTCTGTGCGCATGTGCAGGACAGAAGGAAGGCGATGGGGAGAGCTCAGTTTATTGGGGTGCTGAGCAACACTGCAGGTGAACTGCTCACACCTGCTTGGCAGTACCCTTCCTCGTCTCCAGCTTCAGGTGGCCAGACAAGTCCCTCAGCTCCATGACCAGGTGGCCGAGAAGCACGCGCACATCCTGCATCTGTCTGAGGAGAAGGCCTATCCGGTGGTGCAGGTGGGGGTCGGAGGCCTGCAGAGGAGAGGGGGGCGCTGGGCCCCCTGAGGAAGGGCTGGGTGGCGGAGACAGAGGCCTGCGTGGCTCCGCAGCAGGCATTCCTGGAGCTGCGGATTTCGGAGGAGCGGGGTTCAAGGTAGGTGGTGCACCAGAGCTCGAGGGACCTGGGTGTGGGGCGGGGAACACACTTACAGTGACTTCGGAAACCCGGCTCCAGCCCACCTCCCCTCCCCGGCTGTCTCTCCTGCGCTCTGACTGCCCAGGGTGGAGACTCAAGGGCCCCGCGTCCCTCCTGGCACATGGGAAATCCTTCAGCAGGGAGGCTGGTCAGTGAGGGGTGTGGACATCAGGGATCCTCCCGGTTCCCTGCATGTGGGTGGCACCTGCCCTGAGGACAGGACGCAGCCCTCTGGGCGGGACCTTCATGGAGCTGGCCCCACCCCGTGCGTGAGCCACTGCCCGCCCGAGAGCCTCCCGTCCCTCCCCCGATCCCTGCCACGCGGCTCCCTGGCTCCCCAGACTCCTCTTCTGTGTTTCACGCCAGGAGCAGCCTTCACAGTGGGGCTCCCAGAGCCAACACGGTGCTGTCTGCCTCCACGTGCCCAGGCCCCTGGCGGGAGCGTCGCCCGTGAGCAGCAGCTGCGGAGCTGGCGTGGTCCTGGTGCGGAGAGGAGCCCCTGGTCTAGGGAGAAGTCCCTGTCTGTACTCTCGCCGTCCCCAGGGACCCGGCTCCTGGCTGCTGCCTCCGCTGTGCCTCTGCTCACACTGAGCCCCGCAAGGGCCACCCTCCTGCCCCCCCTCCACACACCACTCACCCTGCACCCTGATCTCCAGCCGGGGGCTCCTTTTCCACACGTGGTTGTCCTCGGTGGCGGCCTCGCACCAGTAGGACCCCGAGTGGGCCTGTGCGGCCGCGGGGACCTGCAGCTCTGGGGACAGGCCCCGGCCGCGCACGGCCCGGCCCCCCTTGTGGAAGGAGAAGAGGAGGCGGGTGGCCGACCTCTGCAGGGGCAGCTTTGTCTGGCAGCTCAAGGTCACCGCACTGCCCTCCTGGGGCTCTGGCGAGGGCATGGCTCTGAGCACCGGAGCGGGAAACAGTTCTGGGAGACGGGACGGGAAGGAAGGGCTCAGCTCGGGCTCACACGCCCTGGGGAAGGAGGTCTCAGGAGAGCTCCATCTGAGCCTTTCAGTGCCGTCTTCACTGGCCTGGACTGGAGCCGATCTAGTGCCGGGGCATCGACCAGGATGCGTGGGATAGAGGGGCCCCCAGGACTCGGAGGGCCGAGGGGCTGCAGCGCGTCTGCCTGCCCCCTCACCCCCCGTGAGGAGGCTTGTCTGTCCCCCCTGCTCTGCCACGGCGACTCCGCCCCGAGCCCTCACCTTGGACGGTGACCGCCACGGAGGATGCCGTTTCCGGGCTCCCAGGACCAGGGCTCTGGAAGATGGCGCTGCAGTGGTAATGCCCGCTGTCCACCTCTTGAGCCACGGCGATCGAGAATTCCCTGTTAGGTCCGGGGGCACCCAGAGCAGAGCCATCTCGGTAGAAGGTGACCTGGGCCAGGGGCCAGCCTCGCCAGGCCTGGCAGCGCAGAACCAGAGGGTCCCCTTCGAAGATGGGAGCAGCTGGGCCTTGGAGGACCAGCCAGTCTGCGGCCAGAGCGAGAGCTGAGTCACCCGCCGCCCGCGCGCAGCCCCCCGTGTGGCCCACAGCGGACCCCTCAGCTTTCTCTGGGGATCCAGGGAGCTCTCGCCCCAAAAACTTCTAGGGCCCAGGACTGAGGGCACTGGGTCTGTGGGCCGAGATGGAAGGAGAGCTGTCATCGGTGGCCAGTTCCTGCGGCACCTTCCCGCGGGGGCTCTGGGCCGAGGGGGGGCTGTGGGAAGTGGGAGAGGACCTCCCCAGGACCTTACCGTAGGACACGACCAGGCGGATGGGTCGGCTGAACGTGTAGCCTCTGGCCAGGTAGTCCACTTCCCCGGAGCCCACGTCATCCCCGGGGCGGCAGCCGCTGTCCCAGGTGCTGACGGGGCCCTCGCACTGCAGGCTCTCAGAACTGGCGGCTGAGGGCACAGCGGAGAGGAGCCAGGAAATGATGCTGAGACGGGGAGAGCAGGAGCGTGCCCTCCAGCGGGGCCTCCGCCTCCTCCTCAGGGAGTCTCCCTTTTAGAAGGAGAATAGGAAGACGCCAAGACCTTTCCCCAGTAGGCCCCCGGGGTCTCTCAGAGGGTCTTAGACGTGACTCACTGTGGTTTGGGGAAGAGGCAGGGGAGAGAGTGGCCAAAGGGTGGACTCACCCGCATGACAGCCAGCTGCTGTGGGCACAGGAACCAGAGGCCACGGCCATCGGCCCCGAGCGGTGGACACAGCACAGGAGAGAAGGGAGAGGTCAGCTCTCACCCCACCGGGTGCATTACCTGCCGGAGGCTCGGCTCTGCCTCACACCCTCTATTTTATCACCACAGGGTTCCCAGGTGTGACTGCACCCTGAGTTTCTAAATCTTTAAGAAACGGGCTTGGAAACCCCAGTTAACTCACCCAACGTTTAAAAGGGGGTGGGACTGCAGCAAGAAAGCTCGGTATGTCTGAGTCCAGAGTCACCACTCAGACACGACCTATCGCAGCCCGCAGCGTTCCCGAGGACTCTTCCTTATTTCCATTGTCCCAACGCGTCCTTGACGATCTTACCCACCAGTGTCTCCTCCTCCCTTGCCTCGACTTTCATGTCTTCATTTTTCAGCCATCTCTACCCTGATGTCTGTCCTCTGTCCCTTGAACTCTCCCGCCCTGTCCTTCTCCCCCCGATCCTCTACTCCCAGTCCTGACAGCGATAGAGCAGCTCTTTGCTTTTGGGTTGAGAGGTAGAGTTATGGATTTCTCACCATTCTCCTCACCTGCCTCTTAGCTCAGGCGAGCTAATTCGATTCTCCCACCTCCACCCCTCCCTGGTCCTCCCTGGTCCTGTCCCCTCCCAAAGGCCCCACACTCCCCTTTGACCTTGTCATTTCCCTCAGCGAGGCCCCTCCCCCTTCCTGGTTCTCCTCCATCTGTCCGTGTCCATCTGTCCGTCCGTCCATCCGTCCGTCCGTCAGGCCCAGGTGCAGTCCTCAGAGCCTCTCCGCCTCTGTCCCACCCGGCTGCCCTCTCGGTTCCTCCACCCGCCCTCAGCGGCTCAGCTTCTTCTTTCACACAAAGTCTGGTTGGGCTGCCAGACACTTTCACTCAGAAAACGGCCGGAAGGTAGCGTCACTCTCATTTTGTGAACAGGGAAACCAAATCCAGAGATATGAAACGTGATTTTTTCAAAGAAACACCCTTGGTGGAAGAGGCGTGGAAACCAGAATGTCCGACCGCCCGTCGGGAGCTCTGGCCACGCACTGGCCGTCCAGGGCTGGCTCTGTGTTCAGTGAAACGATCAACAACGTGACTACGGGCCAACGTGGTGCAAGAGTTCAGACAGATCAGACGAGGTTAAAAGACAAAAGGAAAGGCCTCGTCCCTTTGGTTTGGTGGACGGCACAGGCGCGTGCACACAAGGTCTCTGCGGGAGGGAGAGTGACAGGAGAGAGGCGCCAGGCAGCCCAGCCGCGGCCAGAGGGCTCCCGGACAGCTCCAGGGGCAGGGGCCGCCTTGTTGCCGAGGGTTTGGATGCCCAGAGTTTGTGAGCGAGAGGGGAACGGGGCCATGGGGCGCTCTTTCCAGCAGGAGTAGAGTGAGCCAAGCTAGGAGACAGGTCAGAGTGCAGCGGGGGAAGGTGTGATCTAAGCAACTGGGGCTTGCTGGAGAGCCACCTGCTCAGGGGAGCCCAGAGGTCGCAGAGGTTACCTGCGCGCCAGGTCAGCCGAGTGCAGGACTATGAAGGACACAGGCTGAGACAGGTCACTCAGCTGGGAGGTCACGGGCTCAGCCCAGGTCAGAAATGACGAGGGCTTGTCCAGCATGGCATTCCTTATGTTTCAGGGAAGGGGCCATTTCCAGGGACGATAACTAGTTGTCTGCAGAACATGGGCAGAAGGGAATCTGGCTTGTTCGCCAAGCCCCTGTCTGGGTGTCCGGTGGGAGGTGGGATGGAGAGAGACAGGAGGGGACAGTTGGCTGGACAGTTGGCTGGGCACCGGCCACGCGGTGCTGGGAGACCTGGAGACACGTGGGTGGGTATGTCCTGTGCGAGGCTGGGTATTTGAATGTGACGCTCAAGCACAGGCGTGGGGTTGGAGATGCGATTCAGGACTCAAACCACTCAGCTGTCCCGGGAAAGATGAAACTGACAAATAAGCTGACTGGGGAGACGGCATGAAGAGAGAACGGTAGGGAGGCAAGGAAGCCACCAAAGGGACCAAGGGGGTCGAAGGACCAGGGGCGTGATGCGTGGGGGCCGGGGAGCGGAGGACACCAGCTGGGATGAAGGACAGCAGCAGCGAAGCCCACCAGGGTAGGAGCTAGAGTGTGGCAAGGCCCCTAAGGCCAGAGGCGGCCCCCGGGCCCCGTGACGGCCAGACCGTGAGCACCAGAGCGCAGGGGAGCTCCTTGCTGCAGAGGCCTTCGCCCAGGGGCTGGGGCGGGAGAGGCTGGGAGGTTTTCATGTCTGTCCCCCACTTCACATCCACCAGCCCCGCCCCCTCGGAAGCCAGAGAAGGTCCAGGCACCTTCCCGCTGGGCCTCCGCAGGCCACCCCTGCCCCCAGCGCAGGCGTTACTCACCCAGCAGCACCTGGGCTGCCCAGAGCACAGGAGGCGAGAAGCAGCCCGGCTTCATAGTGACTGTGTGAAGGTCTCCGCAGCCTCACACCCCGACTTTCAACATGAAACCTCTCAAATTAGAAAAGAGGAAGCAAGTCTAACTGTCTTGTCTCCTCTTCAACTCTGATTGGCTTCCATCCTTCAGGTGCCAGGTCATCTGCGTGGAGGGCTGTGGGGGAAATGATGGTCCAGGTCCCCGTGGAGCTCAGAGAGCTGCCAGAGCACGTGCTGCCTGCCATGTCCCCGCCTCCTGCTCCTGCTGGGGAGGGTCCCATGGCCTCCTGCTCCTGCTGGGGAGCTGGCTGACAGAGGCGGAAGCTGCTGAAGGCTACAGAACCTGGTGGGCCCTCTGAGAGTTCAGGGGCCTGCCCTGTGCCCTCCCCTTTCCATCCCCCCATAGCGCCAACCCCCCCCCCCCCCATGTTTCTAGAGCGTGGGCTGCGGCAGGACACGGGAAGAGGGTGGTGATGGCACCATGTCAGACATAGCTGAGTCCTTCCTGGGCTCTGACCACCCAGTTTCTCGAACCCGGTCTCAGGACTCAGCACCGGAGGCTGTGGCTCTCTGGCTCCAAGAAAAGGGAAGTTTCCAGAGGACTCAGCAGGGGGTCAAGGCTCAGGCTCAGCCCAAGGCCCTGGACCTTAGGAGACTGGAGACTCCCAAGGAGACCCAGAAAGAGGGCAACAGCACCTCCCAGCTCCAGGGGGCCTTCCAGAGCCACTGTCTCTGCCTCAGGATGTCCCCTTTGAGGCGGGTCCCAGTGGCACAGCCACCCCCCTTCTCACAGGGTCACCCCCTCCTCCTATTATCCCCCAAGGCCCTCGTGGTTGCCCAGAGGTGAGAGGAACCATCAGAAATGCGGAAGGGAAGGCCTGGGCTTGAAGGCAGGGTGGGTAGAGGGGCCTGACACCCCCCACCCCCCAGCTGTGCAAAACCACAGGGCAGAGCATGCCCCAGAGGGCAGATAGCTCTCAGTCTAAAACCAGCATTTACAGGAAGTCTCCATGTCTGAGAGGCTGTGTTCCTGTGCAGATGGCCCCCGGGACCCAGGTGGGCAAGTGTGAGCGGGAGGCAAGGAGGTGTGAGCCTGTCCCGAGAGACCACAGGCCCAGGAGAGGAAAGGGGTCTGAGCCAACCTGATGCAAATCCGAAGCAGGAGGAATTGAGTCGGACCTACCCCAACACTCCCCTCACACAGAAAGCACTGAAACTGAATCAGGGACTTAAATATAAATGTAAAACTATAAACCCTTTAGAAAAACACGGGAGACATTGATTTGGGATCCAGTGCTAGGCAAAGAGTTCTGAGACTTGATACCCTATTAATGATCTATTAAAGACAGAGGTTCCCCTGGGTATGTGGAAATCATAAATCGATGGGTTTACTTGACTTAAAGTTATAGAAATGTATGTTATAAGACATTTGATGAGAAGTTTTAAGTAATCTTGTTGATATAAATTCCTGTATAATTTAAATATTCTGCTGAAATTGTGCTTTCCTCCAAAATAAATTAAGAGAAATAAGGAAGATTTCATTCCAGTATACACAGGAGGACAGTAAAAGATCGTCTGGTGAGGAAAATATCTTAGGTGACTTTAAATCTACATGTATTTCTTGATTTTAAAAAATGCAAAAGTATCAGAAATAAGAAAGGGGATATTAGTCAAGGCTTAAAATTATTACAATGTGCAAAATGGAAAGCAAATATAAGAGAAGGCTGATCAGAAAACCAAAGCTAATTTTGTGAAAAGAGCAATAAAATACATCTTTGACGCATCCGACGAGGATAAAGGGATTAGAGGCCAGGCATTCAACCACGGAGCAATATTTTGTTTAAAGTCTACACAGGAGCATTGGGATGCCCACAAATCTTGATCGTGTTGTTACAGGAAATTAAGCTGCAGGGAGCTGCGTGCATGTCCTTACCGAGGGGACTGCTGATGAGAAGCCAGAAAATTCCCCTGGGACCCGGGAGGCTCAGGACGCAGGGGACCAGTGTCCGGGTCAGGAATGGCTTTGAGAACAAGAGCAGAGCTGGAAAGGGAGCCCCTTGGGCCTTTCTCCTACCCGAGGGGCGTGGTGTTTCCGGGTGACGCTCCTCCCACCATCGGTCAGTGGTCAGTGGAGTGTCATACCACCACGTGAGTGTGACATCTGACTGGGAATAGGAAGTGCATCCCAAAAGCCATGGCAACCACCCAGCAAAGGAAGCTGCTGAGTCCTGGTGGCAAGCGCTGCTTACGGTGATCTGTCTCGGGGTCCCCGGAAAACAAGGCCCCTCCAGGGCGCCCACCAAGCCCCGGGGCTGTCGGGCGTATTCCAGCCGTCAGCCTCTCTGCGGCCACAGCCTCTGGTGCCGGCGGCAGGCACAGCGGCAGGACGCGTCGCAGTCTCTCCGTCTGTCCGTCCGTCCGTCCGTCCGTCCGTCCGGAGCTTGGCTTGCTGAGAATTGGGTCACAGAGCAAAGTGGTCCTTTATCTGCCGCAGAGGCGGAGGAAGAGGATGGAGACAAGAAGGCAAACTCACTGGGAGAAGAGCTGCTTTAGGGGGTGGCCCCCAGCTTATCCCAAAGGGCAGCAGCCCAGGGCGGCTACACGCCAACCAGTGCAGCCTAGAAAAGGGAGGGTCCTGGCTGGGGCTCAGTTGGTTGGAGCGTCACCACACACCTGGGCTGGGCACAGACCTAGGCAATCTGTCTCCATATGTGTGTATCTCTCTATCTAAAGGGAGTGTTGTTTTATAGTGTTTATTATAAAAGCAACACATGCTCTGTATAGAAACAGAAAGGAAAAGCACCCTGAAACCCCCACTCTAATATGTTGGCGTGTGTTGCTCTGTTTCAACATTTTTGAGACCATGTACACTAATGTAACTTTCCCATGCAAGCTGCAATATAAGCATCTCCCATGTGGCTACAATCTCTTAATAAAAGCAAGTTTTATTGTCTGCGTGGACGTGGGACAGAGGACGTGTGATGGCGAGAAGTGCTGGGGCTCAGGGCTCAGTGTGGCTGTCATCAGGGGCCACAGCTGTGCTGTCAGGACAGGGAGCCCAGGATCCCCGCGGGTGACCCTGGAAGAGCGCCCCTCTTCGGAACGGCAGGCATCCTGCCCGAGGGGGTGCGGCCAGAAGACAGATGGGCCTGCTTGGCTCTGGCCCCGCAGCTACATGTTCTGGTAGTCCGAGGGCGCGGCGTCTTCCTCAGGGGCTTCGGGGTGCAGGAGGAGGGAGTAGGTGATTGTGTTCTCCACCTGGAGAAAGCAGGGGTCAATGGGGCCACAGAGAAGCCCCTGGAGGGGGGCAGGCCACGGCTGGGGGCTCACCTCCGCTTTGGCAGCTGTGTCAGTATCGTCGGCGATGTTGGCTGTGGGCGAGAAGCACAGTCAGCAGGCCCTGCTGCGGGGCCACTGCACGGCTGCCACCCCAGGCCAAAGCCGCCGCCCAGGCCCGCCCGCGCCCCCGCCACGCTGGCTAAGGGAGGCGGGCATTTGTGCGGCGTGGCAAAGCAGGCAGCTTCCGGGGTCTGAGGTGTTAGGACAAACTTCAGGTAGGGAAGACGTCGGCCACTTTGGGCTGGTGAGATGCATCCTTGTTGGGACTTAGAGGGATCTGGTGACACCAGAGCGAGAGCGAGGAGGGAGGGAGGGAGGGACCAAGCAGCAGCCAATGCAGTAGGACAGCCAGTCCCTCATGCCTTTGCCGGGAAAGCACCCTCAGTGTCTGCAGCAGCAGGCAAGGTCTGAGACAACACCGGCAGGTCCTCCCGGCCCCTGGTCGAAGCACCCCCCTTTGCCATGCCCCAGACTCTGGAAGAGACCCTCGACCAAATGCTCTCTCCAACCTGGCCACACGTTATGGCAGCCCCAACCCCAGGTCTGGCTTCAAAGTAAATGCCCTGTGAAACACATCTACGCAGTGGAGACGGTCACACATCGGGTGGCCAGGCATGGTGACCAGGCTCCTCTCAGCGTCTGGGTCCTCCCCCCCACCCCCAGCCTGGCCAGGACGTGGCTGCTCAGAGCTGCTCGGGCTCTCAAATCTGCTGCTCTGCTCTGCGTCACCCCAACCCCTGAGGGTCCCCGGCCTCTTTGACTGCAGGACTGCTGGCCAGTGCCTTCATGCTCTGGCTGTGCCAGGAACCACGCTGCACCTGGGCAGGGCCAGGAGGCCCCTGGCTCAGTGTCAGACCTGGAGGCCGGCTTCCTCGGCGAGGAGACTGAGCCACGGGGGAGGACTTGCCGAGGTTCCTCTGCCCAGTGGGGACAGGGCCCGGGCATCCCCAGGCAGTGGCCTGGACCCGAGCTTGGTCCGTGGAGCCTATGAAGGCCGCTAGAGCCCCAGAACTTTCTCGTGTTCCTCTGGGAGCTGAGCCCAACAACCCAGACGCCATCACTTCACAGAGCAGACTCCTCAACAAACCCAGGTTGTCCCCCAGGCCTCCTCCCTCCCTCCCTCCTAGAACCCTATTCACCTCATCTTACATCTTTTAACCGCTGCCCTGTGCCAGCTCTGCCAAAGCTCCCTCTCGTTTCGTGCTCTGGAAATTTCCCAGCGTTCCTAGTCCCGGGAGTTCCGACGCTGGCGAATCCCTACCTCTACCTGGCGCGGCTGTTCCTCTCCTCACGCCCAGTGAGGTCTCTTTAGGCCCAGGAGTTGTCTCAGAGCTGCCAAGCCACCTGAGCCCTGCCCGCCACACACACAGCCACCAGCTGCTCCAATTCACCTGGCCGCCCAGGCCGGGCAGCAGCAGCCCCGGGCTGCACTCACCTGGCTCCTCGGGTAGGGTCTCTCCCCTTTCCCTGTTCTCAGGGGTTCCTGGGAGGGTCGGGAGGGCACACGGGAGGTTAGTAGATTACAGGGAGGGGTCTGAGTCCTCAGGACCAAGGGTCAGGGTCAGCATTGTGTTAGGACCAACACAGGCCTTCAGCATTCAGAGGCGTCCTCCTCCCTCCCCGCCTCCTGCCCAGACTGCAGAAGGCCTGGTCCGGAGAAACCGCCTGCCAGGCTGTGCACGGGCGCCTGGACGCTGGGAGGCCACGCACTGCTCTTCCCGGGCTGGCTCTGCCCTTTAAAGCGCCGCTTCCTCCCTCCACCCCACCCCCCACCCCCCACCCGGTTCTGTGGGCTCTTCCGTCCCCTCCCCGCATGGCCTCGCATTTCTCTGTCATTCTCTCATCCCTCTGATCATACGATCTGTTTGCGCTCCTGTCTTCCTGCCTGCAACCCTGCGAGCTCTGCGAGGGACAGGCCGGACTCTGTGTCTGGGTGCCGCCCACGGCGTCCAGCACGGTGCTCCACACGGAACAAGTTTGGCCAAGCCTCGGGGAAAGAATGAGCTAGCGAATGCATGAAGAACTAAAATGCGGGGCCATGTCTGAACATGAGGCTTCTGTAGCCCAAAGAGAAGGGTTCTGGCAATGTTTTAGGGTTTTGGCCGGGAGGAACTGATAAGAGAAACCAAGAAAAGCCACAAACCTGAACTCTGGTGTCGCCTGAAGCAGACCCAGGCCACCACACCAGCCACACCAGCCACAGCAACAATGCCGGCCACCCCGGCCACCACTGCCGTGATCACAGGCGGGAAGGCTTTGCTGGACACTGGAGAAGACAGAACTCAGACAGGCAGCGTGCCGCCCTCCCAGCCCGGGGCTGTGCCCAGGCTGTCCCTGCAGCTGCTGTGCCTGGGCCCTCCCGGGTGCAACCTCGCCTGCTCAGGGTGTCTGTGGCTGGACCGTCTCCCCACCCCGGGCCTGTCACTAACCTAAGGTGCACTGCGAAAGGAAGGGTTCCTGCTAGGCCTCAGGGGTGGCGGGAGGGCAGCCTGAAGGCCCCGGGGGAGAGGCACCCCACTGCGTCCAGCGCAGCGGCAAGCTGTCAGGCATGGGCCATCCCTAGAGCGTGCTGGGCAGGACATGAGAACTTCAGCTCTTGGGAAGGCCCAGAAGCGCAGGGGGGGGGGGGGGGGGGGGACTGCTCTGTTGCTGTGCCAGGGGTGGGGCCTCTCCCCCTGGAAGCCCAGGCCCGACCTCTAGCCCGTATTCCTGGCCACTGGCCCCTCTCCTCTGCGCCCTGGGGCCCAGGTTTGCTGCTGTGGCACCTCTGCAGCCCCATGGACACCCAGGTGACCTTCGCCCTAGCTCTGACCCCTCGCCTCGCCTCCTGCACCCGGGCAGGGCTCCCACCTGGGACGGTGATGTTCACGGGCTGCGATGTGTGCTGCATCTGCCCGAGAAGCCCTGAGCAGTGGTACGCGCCGCTGTGGCTGGCGTTCGCGTGTGGGATGGAGAAGCTGGCGTTCGTGTATGAAAACCACTTGGGTCTCCCGTCCTGGAAGAACTGGATCTTGTACAGGCGCCAGTTCCTCCAGCTGTGGCAGCGCAGCACGATGGGGGCCCCCTGCGGGACCAGCAGGCGGGGCGTCTGGAGCAGCAGCCAGGCTGGAAGACAGAGCACAGGACATGGCAGCGCTGCCTCAGCTCTGAGAGCCAGAGGATGGCAACAGCCACGTGCCTGCCAGTCAAGCCCTCTTAGTCCCGGCTGGTGGGACATGATGTGGGAACGACGAGCTGACGTCTGGAATCAGACGTCCTGGCCCAGGCTCTGGCCCCCTCACTCATGAGCGCTGTCATCTTGGGCAAGTCATTGAACTTCTGGGCCTTAGTCTCCTCATCTGTGAAAATGGACATAAGGACTCCACCCCCCCCCCCCCCAGTCCCTGGCACGTCCAGGGGCTCTTTCCTGTCCTCTGGGAGGCACAGGGACCTGGCGCCGTCCCTGGGCAGGAGGGAGGGGCCCCCCCGACGTGGAGACATGTCTCTGAGGATCGTAGAAACTCATGGGCATCCAACAAGTGCTCGCTTCTCTGGTGAGTGTCAGGGAATGTGGGCTTCCTGCAGCGGGGCTTTGGGGGTCATTAGTCTGCCGTGTAACTTCCCCCCCAGTTTTCGTCCTTTTACTGAGGAAGAAAGGATATTTACTATTTGGTTGTGTAGGGAATAGTGCCTAAGGAGGGCGCATGGAGTCCTGAGCTCGACCCGCACTTTCCTCCAGGACAGAGGGGTTGGGATTGGAGAGGAAGGATGGGGAGCAGACACTAGAGACCTGGGAGGGGGAGGGGCAGAGAATGACAACGGCCTCGGTGTGCGTGCCAGGCAAGCCCTCTCAGTCCTGCCACAAGTCAGAGTGAGACCCGAGCCTGCCTGCTGGGAGCCGCCAGGACACAGGGAGAGTGAGGGCAGAGAGAAAGCTGGGCCTCCGCCCTGGGCGGCGCAGAGGGCACTGGGGGGCGAGGGGCGGGGGGCGGCCCCGGTTCCTGCTGCTCAGCCGCATCACACACGCTGGAGCCCGCCTCTCCCGGCCGCACCTGCGGCCCCCTTTCCTGGCCCAGCACAGAGCGTTTCCTCCTGCGAGGGAGTGGGCCCGCGGACTCCCCTGCAGGCCAGGCTGCGTGGCCCTGGCCCACGGGCGGCCTCTTTTATCAGGATTCGTGTGGGGCCAGCGGGAGGCTCAGAACCACAGATTGTTAACAACAGAGAAGCCAGAGACACGTCAAAGCTGCCGCCTGTAGACAGCAGCCACTCCTGCCTCCGCGTCCTGGTCGGGCCGCATCGCTGAGCAGCCGGCCCTTCCCTGCGGAGGTGCCGCCACCAGGTTAACACCGGGACGTGTTAAAGGCCACTGAGGGTCCCGGAGGACACGTCCTGGGAAGGCCCTGCAAGCTCACGGCACTCAGAGCGTCCTCTTCGAGTAATGAAAGTCCGCCCATCAGTCTCCTGGGAGCCGCGTGGAGAAGCGATGAGCTCCTGCCTCCTCTGCACCACGGCTGGAGGGGACTGGGGCGGCTGGGGCGGCTGGAGGGGACTGGGGTGGCTGGGGCGGCTGGGGTGGCTGGGGCTGCTGGAGGGGGCTCGGCCGCAGGACGGTTCCCAGGACAGGTCCTTCAAGCCTGGCTCTCCACCCCTGGAGTTCTCCTGGGCCTCGGCCCCACTGCAGCAGGTCCCGGTGGGTGGGCTTTTTGAAGCTTTCTCACTTTTTCCTCTTCAGCCAGATCTGTGACCACAGCTCACATTGTCCCTCCTGGTGCAACTCACAGAGCAGAACCTCTCAGAGGCACGAAACGGCTCACAACTCAGGACACTGGCCTCTTGTCTGCTTGGCGGACGGGCCGGTCGCGCACAGGCCACAGCCTGCTTCTCGTGCAGCCTGCCCAGCCCTGCCTGCAGCAGCTTCTCACTCAGGCTCTGCTCCTTCTTGGATACAAAAGCCTCAGTGATGTGGGTGATATCGGGGCTTCCCAGTGGCCTGTGGAGGTTTGAGTCACCCATTTGTCTGGGCCCCTGGCTAGTCCAGGGCTGTGCTGGGGGGCGGGGGGAGGGTGGGGGCGCACGGCTGCCAGCCCGCTGCGGGGGTATTAGCATTGCCGCTGGATGACGGCCGCTCCCTCTCCAGCTACTGGAGGTGTCTGGGCAACAAGCACTGAGCTCTGTGTCTCCTCCTCAGCCAGCCTGCTGCCCGGCAGCCACGCCGGGGTTTGCCCAGCTGACCGTGGTCGGCAAACTGCGGCTCACGAGCCATGTGCGGCTCTTTGGCCCCTTGAGTGTGGCTCTTCCTAAGCCTTAGGAGTACCCTAATTAAGTTAATAACAAGGTACGTGCCCATATAGTTTAAGTTTAAAAAATTTGGCTCTCAAAAGAAATTTCAATCGTTGTACTGTTGATACTTGGCTCTGTTGACTAATGAGTTTGCCGACCACTGGCCCAGCTGGTGCAGAGAAGGCACGTGGAAGGCAGCGGGGACCGGAGGCGGTGGCCGAGGGACAGCCAGCGGGGTCAGTACGGGGCGGGCGTGCTGGAGCCCAGCCTGTTTCTCCTGAGGCTGCCGGGGCCGTTGCTCAGTGGAGAACGGGTGGACCTGCGTGTGGGTGGCGCAGGGGGCTGCCTGCGTCGGGTCCCACTGCGTCCCCGTGTGGCTGCAGGCAGGGCTCCTGCTCTCCCTGCCCTTCATGATTCGGTGTGGACCCGCCCCCGAGGAAGGCAATGACCCAGATGCCCCGGTTCTGGCTCCCTCCACCTGGACTCGTGGACTCTGGGCTGCTATTCCTGCCACCTCCTGCAGCTCGACTGAGGTTGAGGGACTGGCCTGAGGCCCGAGAGGAAGCTGAGCCACAGCAAGAGCCTGGCGAGAAGCCTGGGAGAGGCAGACAGAGGAGGTGAAGACAGGGCAAGGCCCTTCTCAGGGGAGCCTTGGGCTGGGGCTGCTGGCTCCTCACTGCCAAGTCTGCCCCAGCCACACCTGCCGGCCCCCAGGAGGCTGAGCACCTGCACGGGCTGGCCTGAGCCTCCGCCGGGGCATTGGATGAGCTGGGAGCCCAGGGTCCGGTCCACCTGCCATAGGTTCCCAGCTGTGGCCTCAGGTACACGTGGGCCCGGCCTGGACGAGGCTGGGAGGTGCTGGTCCCAGGAGCACGGACTGGGTCAGAGTGGTGGGGCTGGGAGAGCGCCCGCCCCAGGACTGGCTGAGGAGCTGCGGCCAATGGTGGGCAAGGCCTGGGTGGGGGTCTACTGCTGTGAGGGAGCTGGGCACGGCCACCTGCTGCTAGGCAGACCTGGAGGGCAGGCCCCCCAGCCACCCCACTGGCTGTGTACACAGTGACATGTGAGCTGCCCCTGCTGGAATGCCCAGTGCTAGACCTGAACTTCGGGGGACCCTGGGGCCCCCAGGCTGGAGGACTTGGGTCCTCCCGGGGGCATCCACCTCCTGTACTGGTCCTGGGGCCTGGTGTGGCCGTTGGTGAGGACTCGCCTGTCTCAGCGGGTCCCCTCGCCTCTCCCCTTCCTGGAGGGGCCAGGCCCTGGGCCTTCCTCTGGGCTGGGTCTGCTGGGAGCTTCTGAGGACGATTGCCAAGGGGAGGGTGCGGGTGTGAGCAGCCGCTCTGCATGGAGAACTACGTTTTACCAGGAGGGTGAGAGCGCCCACTGGGTCGGCCTGTGTCAGGAGGAAAGTGCATGGAGGGTGGGGCAGGGATGTGAGACTGCTGGGGTCAGCACCCCACGGAGCAAAGGGGGACAGACTCGGGGAAGGAGCCCACGGCTCCACAGCTGGAACTCAGCTGTGTTCCTGCCTCGGCTAGGAAAGTGGGGTTCTGTGAAGTTGTGGTTTCCTCCTGCTTCTCTCACCCCCGGTGGCCTGTTTGTGGCCTTGTCACCTTCTTGCTCAATCAGGACTGAGGCCAAGCAACCTCACATACTCCGAGGAACCCACATAGAAGCGAAGGAGGCGGGGGTGCGAGGGGAAATGACTGGGCAGAAACCACTTCCAACAGCTCGGGCCACACTTCCCAGAAACGGCCACCCCGTTCCCAAACCCTCTGCCCACCCCGTTCCCAAACCTCTGCCTGGCCAGCAGCTCTCAGATCCACCTCCCAGGCCTCCCAGCTCCTCCACTGACCGGAAGTCACGTCCAGGTGCACAGGGTCGCTGAGGCTGGTCTGGCCCGTCTGGCACCTGTAGTCCCCGCTGTGGTTGCTGCTGGCCTTGAAGCTGTAGCTGGGCTGGACCTGGGTGGGGATGGCGGTCCCATCATGGAACCACTGGGTGGAGTTGTCCCCAGGGCTGTGGGCCCCCTGGCAGGTCAGAGTCACGTTGTCCTCAGGGAACACCTGGAGCCACGGGGGCTGGAGGCTCACCACGGCCTTCGGGAGACCTGGCGGCAGAGAGAGGCGCGTGAGGAGCCGACGGAGCAGGTCTCGGAGCCCAGACAGGAAGCCCTGGGCCCTGCCACCGACCACAACTACAGTGGGGCCTTGACTTAGGAGTTTAATTCGTTCTGAGACAGAGCTCATTAAGAAGCTCATTAAGGAGCTCGTTAACTCAAATTACTCTGGCAACTCAATGCAAAAAATCCGCTGAAAGATCCGCTGGTATCTCAAAAAACTCGTTAGTCAGGACACTTGTAAGTCAAGGCCCCACAATATCTGAGAAGGCCAAGCCTGCTCATGTGCCTCAAGAGCAAGGAAAGGGCTAGGACACAGGGCACATGCTCTCGAAATAGAGGTGCCTAGCTGCAGCACCCTAACCACACACACACACACACACACACACACACACACACACCTTTAAATGGAGGTGTCTGGACTCAGAACTGAATGAAGGGAGTGGTGGGGGTGCAGCATGAGAATTGGATGCCCGGTTTCTGTTCTGACCACATGTCCTTCTTTATCCCTTAGAACAGGCCTGTCCTCGTACCCACACAAAGAAGGACAGAGGCAGAGGGAGAAAGGCCGGGCCAATGCAGGAGCCCTGGGCTCAGGCCCTGGAAGGGCCCCTGCCCCCCGGGAGAGGGAGAAGCTCAGCCCGTGGGGTCCCTCCTGCTCCTGCCCAGGCCCCAGGCAGAGCCTTCAGGCAAAGCAGAGCTTCATCGACGCGAGGCTGAGACTGGAATTGCCGGGGCTCCTGTTAGATGGGATTGACTGCGTTGGCGAGAGGAAGGCGATGGAGAGAGAAGGTGCAGTGATTTCCTGTGACAATATCTGTGCTGTGTCCCGGCCCATGTGCACCGGCTGCCTGGCCCTGGCCCCGGGAGGAGGGGAGAGGGGAGAAGGGGAGAGGGGAGGAGTGTTACCCTCCTGGCCCTGCCTAGGCGGGGTGCTGGGGCAGAGGAAGGGGCAGCTAGGACGGGACTTACCAGGGGTCCCGGCCGCAGGAGCTGCAGGAGAGAAAGCAAAGTCCTGCATCACTGTGAGTAACCACTGCCCTGCAAGCCCCGAGGCCCTGTCCTCCTCCGTCTCCACTGGAACCCTCTGCATCGCCCAGCCTGCACCTGCCCCGCTGTGCTGCTGAACCAGCATGGAGCAGGCAGACTGGTGACTCTGCAAACTCAGGGCCGACCTCACTGCCTGCATCTCCCTCCTTCCTGCCCCCCCACCCCCCGTGACTCCACCTTACTGGGCCAGCCGCTTCTGCCCATCCCTTCATCCTGTGACTCCCTCTCCTGCGTCACCAGCGTCCCCTTTTCAGGGACATCTTCCTCACCAATGTAAGTACATTCCAGTATCTTTCATAAAAAGAAAACCTCTCACCGGACCCCACATGTAATTCCAACTTCTCTCCCTGCTCCCTTCACAGCCAGATGGCTCCACTGTTTCCTACACAAGCTGCCCGCCCGCTCCTTCTGGTCAGCTTCACTCGCAACAGGGGACACGTTCCATTTCTCTCCCAGTCTCCGTTCCGTGCCCCCTCTGCCCCCTTTCTGCTTTTCTGCGGCCTGGAAGCTGCCGTCTCTTCCATTCCTCCTCCAGACCCCACCCCTCATGCCAGCAGTTCTGTCCGACTGCCTCCCACTTAGAGCTTGGATGCCCGTCTCTCCGCCCACGGCCTCACGCTGCCCCAGTCCCTGCCGGCCTTCTGCCATCTCCCGACTTGTCTCCCCACAAGTTAAGGTTATTTTAAACAACGTCACTCCCCGCGTACAAGCCTGGATGGCCTTCCTTTGCTCTTAAAATACGATGTCAGCGTTTGCAAGGCCGCGCCTGGCTCTCCCGCTCCTTCCCTGAGCTCAGCTCCAGCAACACGGGCCACAGACGTGGCTTTTGTGTCGGCGGGTCCGCTGCTCTGAACCTGCCTCCTTTGCCTCGAGGGGCTGGATGTGGCTCCGTCCCATGGAAGCGTGGCCTCCTCGGGAAGCTCCGTGTCGGCTCAAGCAGCTGCTCTGTCTCCCACATTAGGCTTTCTTATCAGGGCGCCCCATTGACGCCTCGTGCCTTCCTGTTTGTGCCTCTGTGTTTGCTCCCTGTGCTCACACCCTCGGTGGGATGCACGCTCAGACAGGGCAGTAGCCACACTGATCCCATTGCTTCCCCTCCCCCCGCTCCCGGACACATTCGCTGAGTGGCTCCAGGTAGTGTGTGCTGAGCAGGAGCCTGGCTCCCGGGCCTCCCGGCCTCTCCCAGGGGAAGGGAAGCGCTCGATGCCTGACGTGGATTCAGGAGGACAGAGAATTGCCACTGCCCGCCACGTGCCTGACAGCTTCCTCCCACGCCATCTGGAGCACCGTGACCTTCCCCTGAGATGCAGTCCCTGGAAACACCTTTCTGAGGAAGCAGAGCTCCCGCCCAAGCCATGCCCGTCTGGTCCCGGGACTCCTCCGAGCGGGTTCTGATGTGGGGCTGGCGGATCCTCAGAGACGGGGCCCAAGAGAATTAGGCAAAAGACACGTTAAAACCCCAGCTCTGCCACTGTCGCACTCAGCGAGGCCAGCAGGCTGCCAGGGCTCGGTCTCCATCTGCTGACTGCTTCCCACGCCAGCCTCACCCTGGCCAACCGCAACTCCGACCGACCGACCGACCAACCGGCCCGTCCCTCCCTCTGCCCCGACCCTGACTCACCCAGGAATAGCAGAGCCGTGCACAGTAGTAGCAAGTGCCCCCAGGGACGGCGAGGGGGACAGCCAGCCTGGCCACTCGCTGCAGCAGGGAGTGGCAGGACTGAAGGGACCCCCATGGCCCCTGGTGCAGCTCTCGGGGCTCAGCACAGTCAGCCGGCTCCTCTGGGGCTGCACCCCAGGACAGACAGGCGTGGAGTCAGAAGGGGAAGTGGAAGCCTGTGGCTTTATCACAGCCCCGCCCTCCCCCTTTCCTCTGAAGGTTCCCTCCCTGAAGACGCAGGCCTTCCCAGAATCTGGCTCAGCTTGGCTCCAAATTCACCGGAATCTTAGAAACTGGGAAACAACGTCCTCTCCCTGGGGCCACGGTTCCCCGGGGCCTCTATCTGTCCCAGCCCCTCCAGGAAAGGTGGCTGCGGAGAGGGAGGCAGTCCTGTCGTGCTTCTAGCTCACCTGGAGGCCAGCATGGATGGCCCTTCCCGAAATCAGTGCAGGCTGCAGACCACCCAGCAGCCCTGGGTCCCTTCTGGGTGTGGACAGAGATGGAGAGGACTGTTAGGGCCCAGAGGAGGAACCAGTCGCCTCCCTGCCCCCTCATCATGCTCCTGCCCGCTCACTCGTGCACCAAACACCTGCTGGCCACCGGCTCGTCCTGCCGGTCCCGCCGGCCTCTCGATGGCAGGTGAGTGAGCTCCCCTCCAGAGGGCGGATGGCCAGGCCTGGACGCCAGCTCCTCAGGACTCACAGAGACCACGCAGGACTCCTGGGCCTCAGGACTCCTGACACTGGGGCCAGGTGATTCCTGTCTGAGGAACGCCTGTGCCTTGCCGGGTGTTCAGCGACATCGCTGGCCTCTAGGTGCCGGCGACACCCATTGTTGGCATAGAAATGCCCGAGGCTGAGAAGCACTGCCTGGGACGTGGGGACATGAAGAGGACCTGGGCGCTGGCGAGGCAGTCCAGGGCGTCCCCGGACACCTTTCCTTCCTGCTCCCTGTCCTCATGCTCGTCCCCTGTGCCCATCCTCAGCACGTGGAGAGGGAACCACCTGATAGCGGCCGCTACACACTCTGGAGACCTCAGAGCCAAGGTCACCAGGGGGAGAGGCTGTGGGCGTGCAGGAGGCCCACCTGGGAGCAGGCCCCTCCCTGCTGCTCGGGAGAGCGCTGCTTCCAAATGCTTTCCCACGGCTCTCGCAAAGGGGAAGGCAGCCCGATTCCTGTGTTCCACCAAAGGCCCTGCCCGCCCGGGCGGGGACCTGCAGTCCTGCCCGTTACAGCGGCTCCCTGGTTCCCGGCACCTGGTTTCTCTGGGTGAGGAAACCCCTCTCGCCATCATGAGGCTCCTGGCCTGGCTGCCAGTTGCTCTCCCTGCCTCCAGTCAGCACCGCCAGGAGAAACGGGCACAGCAGTCCTGGGAGGTCTGGCTGACCCCAGGCGTCATCCTTCCCCTTCTGAGCCCTGCTCTTCCCATCGCTGCCCCCTCCCACAACCGACCCCCACCCCACCCCCGCCCCGTGGCGTCAGGGGCACCGCCCGGGTCCAAATGCACCTGCGCAGGAGGGGCACCTCTTCCTGCGCCAGGAGCTCAGTGTCCAAATGGACGAGCAGGCGGAGAGCTGCCGCGGGCGCAGTGGCTGCACCTCTAACTGCATCACAGACTCTAACTGGAGCTCCCAGAAGGCACTCGTGACCCCAAGGTCACTTGGCACCCCCAGCTCCGCTGGCGAGGAGCAAGCAAAGCAGTGTACTGCCCCCAAAATCCCTGCACTCTCTGGCCAAGTTGTTCCTGCGGAGGAAAGCCCTTGGCTACCGTCTGCTGTGCGTTGGAAACCACCGCTCGCGCCTGGACCCCCAGTTCTGGGGAAGCTGAGACCCAGCCACTTGGCCGACTAAGAAAGGGCTTGGTCCAGGGGCCTTTGTGTGGCCTCTTCGGTCTCAGTGGGTGTGGGTCAGGGGTCTGCAGCTTCCGGCATTATTCTGCGTAGAGTCATTCTATGGCCTCCCTGCTGCGTCCTTCCGAAGCTGGAAATGCCCAGCGCAGCTACTGGTGACAGACAAAGCGGCCCCTTTGCCTAGAACAGAGTGAAGGAAAGGCCCCAAGGGACCAGGGCCTTGACGTGCTAATCTGTGGTTCCCGTCGGAGACACCCCACCCCCACCCCCCCACCCCCCGAAGTGGGAGCGCGAGGGCGCTGGTGCCCGTCTCTCGGAGCACCAGTCGCCGCGGGGACGAGGAAGGTGGCTGGTACCGACAACCCCGGCCCCTGCCGAGGCGAGGCCGGCGGCCCAGCCCGCGCCGCACACCCGCACTCGGGAGCACCTGCCAAGGCCCTGAGGTCCCCGTCCTGCAGCTCAGCAGCGCCCTGGAGAGCGGGGCCAGCCCAGCGCTGTGCGGGCGCCTCCTCCAGCTCCCGCCCGGGGCCTCGGGAAGCGGCTCACCTGCTCCCCGTCCGGGACGCCTTTCCCTTGGATAAAGGACAAGTCGGTCCTTAATTGTTTAACTTTGTCAGTGGATGAAACAAAAGCACAGACAACAAATACACTAAGAGCCCAAAATGACAGTCACTGCGCGCCGAACGCTGGCGGAGGAGGCCCCGCCCGCCCCGGAGGTGAGCGCTGCCGCCGCCCTCTGCGCTTTAAGGAACTTAGAGGACAAGCTGCAGTGCATTACCGTTTTTAGGCGTTTATTTGAACGAGAATGACCTCTGATAGGACAGTGCCTAAAGGCAGGGGTTCGGAGCACCCCGCAAGCAGGGGCTGGCGGTGCAGATTTGCCCACAGAGCAGGGGCTGCGCGGCGGGGGGCGGGGGGCTGCGCGGCGGCGGGGGAGGGGGCGGCGCGCATGTGCACTGGCCGGGGAGCCCCGGCGCCGCTGCGGGGTGGTGAAGGCAGCGGGCTGTGCGGACCCCAACACACCTCCTTGGCGATTATTTCTAAGCAGCAGCCGTCACAGGAGACGCTCTGAACACTCGCCGGGGGGACAGTGACGGGAAGTCCTTTTGTGAGGACGTCGCCCGCCCTCCCGTATCAGGGCGCCTCCAAATCACGAGGCTCGCTTATCGTCTGGGGAGAGGCTCAGCTTGTCAGCACAACCGCGCCCCCTCTGCTGTGCTTTTCCTGCCAGCCTCCCCGCCCGGGCCCCCCACACACCCCGAAATAGACATTTTTGTCTTTAGCTGAAGATGGTATTTAAGGGGGTGTTTGGGGGGAGTTACTCGGTTTTCCTTGGGCGGTGTGCATGTTACGTAAATTTGTTAGGTTAGGTGGCTCAGGAAGCGGCGTAGGAAATAAAGAGAGTCCAGTGAATCAGAAAAGAAAAAAGGGAAGGTTTTATTCTGCGTTCCCGGGGACCCATGAACCCCAAAGGCAGGGCCCGTGGATTCACGCCAACAGGCAGGGGGCGCTGTTTTTATACTGGGCTTGGGTGCGGGGCGGGGACGTGAGCTGAGGGATTCAGCTGTGGAAGTTCCCGCCTCCGGGCGGCAGGGTGTTCAGGAAGGAGTCCTGTCTGTGTGGGGGTCGTTGTGGATTCAGGGAGAAGCCGGTATCTGTGTCGGGCACGCTGATCCGTTAGAAATGCCAGGGCGGGCCCATTACCTCCTCACAGGTCTGCATGTATCCGATCCTGGGCTCTCTCCGACCTAACAAAATTCTGTTTTTCACTCTTTTATTGGAGGGTTCTCAGCTGAGGTCCTGAAGGGTAGAGGGCAATTCATTTTCCTCCCTCCAAAACCGACACTGACAACTGGGAAAAGACCAAAGAAAAACAAAATAGATCAAAACAAAGGAGATGTTTCTTTTAAAAATAGCTGAAACCGGTTTGGCTCAGTGGATAGAGCTTCGGCCTGCGGACTGAGGGGTCCCGGGTTCGATTCCGGTCAAGGGCATGTACCTGGGTTGCAGGCACATCCCCAGTGGGAGGTGTGCAGGAGGCAGCTGATCGATGTTTCTAACTCTCTATCTCTCTCCCTTCTTCTCTGTAAAAAATCAATAAAATATATTTTTTAAAAAAATGGACACAGTGTGCACGATTGATTGGTTGATTTTTAACCCACCTCCTCCGAGGATATTTTTCCCGTTGATTTTTGAAAGCAGAGGGGAGGGAGGAGGGGGAAAGAAACCTCAATTGGTTGCCTCCCCCTGCACCCTGACCTAGGATGGAGTCTGCAACCTAGGTGCGTGCCCTGGCCAGGAATTGAACCCGAGACCCTTCAGTCTTAGGGCCAACACTCTCACCACTGAGCAATGGACCAGGGCGGGCACACTACTGAAAACTGAAATATGCCAGTGAAACTGGAGAATCCTTCGAAGGGGACAGCTTGATTTAAAGTGTGTATGTCGAGCCCTCGCTGGTTTGGCTCAGTGGACAGAGCGTCGGCCTGTGGACTGGGTCCCGGGTTCGATTCCGGTCAAGGGCACGTGTCCAGGTTCAGGCTCATTTCCCCAGTAAGGGGCATGCAGAAGGCAGCCAATCAATGATTCTCTCTCATCATTGGTGTTTCTAACTCTCTCTCCTTTTCCCTTCCTCTCTGAAATTAATTTAAAAAAATTTAATAATAAATTAAATTAAATGTGTAATGGCTACTTCAAAAATCAGAAAAGCCCCGTGTTTAATAGCAGGAGTTTGGAGCTGGAGCCCAATCAAAGGCCTCAGGCCTCTGCCCTCCGTGTAGTCTTAGATGTCTCATTCATCCCTCCGAAGCCCTGCTGACCATCTCACAGTGGGGATCACCTTAGCATGTGGTTGTGAAGATTAACTGACAAAAATAGAATGTTGGGGACCAGCTATAATTGTAAGAAATATGGATCATGCTCTGTTAACCGGGATTGTTTTGTTCTGATTAAGGAAGGCACATGCTCACCTGGCTAGGAGTCGCAGTGGGGCCTGGGAGCTCCCTTGGAAATGCGGCCCCTCCCCATCTGGGAGCTGCCTGTTATCCTGGAAAGATGGATACCTTGTTGCAGAAACCAGAGGCCAGCCCTTGGAAAACCCTCAGGCCTTTGCAATCCCCCAGCCCCCATTACCTGTTAACTGCCCATTTGGCAATCCTTTGCCCACTTCCCCGTGTCGTCTTTGTCCTTTTACCCAATAGCAGCTGGCTTATGGGGGGAGAGCAGATGTTTGTGGACGACCTGCTGCTCTCCACGCCGCCAGCAGCACTGGAACACACGCTCATGTGATTCCACCCTGTTCTGCTGAATTGGCTCATGTA